GTCATATTTGACGAATTTCTCGATTTTTCCAGTCAAAAAATTGAAAAATCGAACTACAGTAATCCGAGCGCTCTAAAATCGATTCTTAGCTCATTTTTGCTCATTTTTTCAGCTTTTTTAGCCGATTTTTCCAATTTTCAGCCAAAAAAAAATGGGCGTTTCATGGGTGTTCGAAGCGGAACAAACGGCGAAATCCGTCGAAAGAATTCTGGAAGGAATTGGGGCGGAGCTTATGGGACAATTCCAAGTCGACGTCATACCGTATAACCCGGCGACACCGTCGACAGACTACGCCACGAATATCGTCATGCATCACTCAAAATGTCCACAGTCGACGTTCTCCATTTGTGAGTGTAGTAGTGCGTTTTGGGGGAGAAAATAGGCTAAAAATTGGAAAAATCGTCGAAAATAGCCTAAATTAGTTGAAAATGACTCAAAAATTCACTAAAAATGGCTAAAAATGATCCGAAACAGGTCGGTAATGACTGAAAACCCATCAAAATGGCTCAAAATCTGTCTAAAATGGTCTAAAATGGCTCAAAATCCATAAAAAATGGCCGAAAATTACCCAAAATTCATGAAAAATGGCTTAAAATAGTCCGAAAATGGCCCAAAATGTCCCAAAATCCATGAAAAATGGCTCTGAATCGATGAAAAATGATCTAAAATGGACCTAAATTCATTAAAATTGACTTTAAATTCATCTAGAATTGTCTAAATTGGCCGAAAATTAACCAAAGTGACCCGAATTTCGTGAAAAATAGCTCAAAATTCATTTAAAATTAGTCAAATATCGTCAAAATTGGCCCAAATTGCATGAAAAATGGCTCAAAAAAGTCCGAAAATGGTCCAAAATGGCTGAAAATCGCTCAAAATTTGCGCAAAATAGCTTACAATGGTCCGACATTCGTGGAAAATGGCTTTAAAATTATCCAAAATAGCGCAGAATACGCCAAAATTGGTCTAAAATGTCCGAAAACTTAGTTTAAACAGTCAAAATCAGCAGAAAATGACCCCAAAATCGATTTTCCAGCCTCTGGATTACTGTAGTTGGGATTCTGTGCAAACACCGAGAGAAAGCACTAGATTTGACGACGAAACTTGAATTGTTGCTGAAAAATGCGCGTTTTTTCACAGGAAATTCGCATTTTGTCGAAATCTGTCTAAAATGGTCTAAAATGACTCAAAATCTGTCTAAAATGGCGTAAAATCGGCCTAGTACAGCCCAAAAATGTCCCGAAATCCATCAATTCTTGCAGGTCCAAAGACGGACTTCCGCGTGAGCCCAAAAGCAGTGTGTGACCGTGGATTCGACCTAATTCTGGGCAAATTGGCCGGCGGACTCGTCATCGACAACGCCGGGAAGATCGAGATCAACGGAAACGAGTATAATATACATTCGGACTGGACAGTCCGTGTTGGGACGGCCACACAGGGGACTACGGTCAAGGGAGTCGTGGTGGAGGTGATTTTCAATGATTTTGAAATTCTCAATAGAGCGAATTTGCTGAAAAAATCTGAAAAAATCGGAAAAATCGCTTCAAAAACTCTTTTCCCAAAATTACTGTAGCTTCATTTCTGTGCAAAACACCGAAAATCGAAAATTTCTGCATTTTGTCGTCAAATCTGATGCAAAATTCGGAAAAATCGAAAATTTCTGCATTTTGTCGTCAAATCTGATGCAAAATTCGGAAAAATCGAAAATTTCTGCATTTTGTCGTCAAATCTGATGCAAAATTCGGAAAAATCGAAAATTTCTGCATTTTGTCGTCAAATCTGATGCAAAATTCGGAAAAATCGAAAATTTCTGCATTTTGTCGTCAAATCTGATGCAAAATTCGGAAAAATCGAAAATTTCTGCATTTTGTCGTCAAATCTGGTGCAAAATTCGGAAAAATCGAAAATTTCTGCATTTTGTCGTCAAATCTGGTGCAAAATTCGGAAAAATCGAAAATTTCTGCATTTTGTCGTCAAATCTGATGCGAAATTCGGAAAAATCAAAAATTTCTGCATTTTGTCGTCAAATCTGATGCAAAATTCGGAAAAATCGGAAATTCCTGCATTTTGTGGTCAAATCTGATGCAAAATTCGGAAAAATCGGAAATTCCTGCATTTTGTGGTCAAATCTGATGCAAAATTCGGAAAAATCGAAAATTTCTGCATTTTGTCGTCAAATCTGGTGCAAAATTCGGAAAAATCGAAAATTTCTGCATTTTGTCGTCAAATCTGATGCAAAATTCGGAAAAATCAAAAATTTCTGCATTTTGTCGTCAAATCTGGTGCAAAATTCGGAAAAATCGAAAATTTCTGCATTTTGTCGTCAAATCTGGTGCAAAATTCGGAAAAATCGAAAATTTCTGCATTTTGTCGTCAAATCTGGTGCAAAATTCGGAAAAATCGAAAATTTCTGCATTTTGTCGTCAAATCTGGTGCAAAATTCGGAAAAATCGGAAATTCCTGCATTTTGTCGTCAAATCTGATGCAAAATTCGGAAAAATCGAAAATTTCTGCATTTTGTCGTCAAATCTGGTGCAAAATTCGGAAAAATCGAAAATTTCTGCATTTTGTGGTGAAATTCGGTGTTGTTCCGCTACGAAAAGGACTACTGTAGCTTCATTTCTGTGCCAACCACCGAAATACATCGAATTTGACGCCAAAATGCGAAAAATTCGAAATTTCGCTGAAAACATTCGGTTTTTCCGCATTTTGTTGTCAAATTCGGTGTTTTTGCACAGAATCAAGCCTACAGAAGTCAAAATTGCTCATTTTTAAGCCTAAATTTGAATTTTTGCAGGTTGAATACGATCCGACGGTCATCATTGTGCAGTGTCGTGAGATGATGGCCGAATTCATCAAACAAGTCTTCAATAAATATGTAAGCTTGAATTTTCCGCGATTTTCAGCCCAAAAATCGATTTTGGAGCGCTCGGATTACTGTAGTTTCGATTTTGTGCAAACACCAGGGCGATGCATCAGATTTGGCGGCAGCAGAATTTGTAATTTTGGTTGAAAAAATCGAAACTACAGTAATCCGAACGCTCGAAAATCGATTTTCTGGGGTGAAAAACGGCGGGAAAATCGATATTTTCGCAGTTTCAGACTCAAAAAATCGATATTTGCAGCACGAAACTCAACCGGAAATCTTCAAAATCACCGAGAAACCGGAGCGATACTCAACACTCGACACCATGTGGCAATATCTTCAAATCGCGGCTAAATTGCGCAAAAAGACCTAGATTTTTGAATTTCCCGCCGTTTTTGACCCCAAGAATCTCAATTTTTCGATTTTTATGATATTTTTTATGAATAATTGCACTTTTTTCCTCATTTTTCACTCATTTTTGTCAATTTTCTATGGTTTTTTGCCATTTTTATCGATTTTTTGCTTAAAAATTGGATTTTCAGCCAAATTTCTTTCAGAAATGGGCATATCCTACGATAGCTCGGATCGAGATCTGAGCTTCCGCATTGCGCTGGAATATTTCGACGATTTGCGCATTTTGTTCAATGCAAAGTGCTCGGGACTCGAAGCGTGGCAGGTGGGCGCTGAAAATGAGCAATTTTGAGCCAAAAAGACGCGAAAATTCGAATTTCCCGCCTAGACATTTGATTTGGAGCGAATTTGCTGAGTTTTGACACCTAAAAACGTCGAAAATCAATATTTTCGAGTTTTTCTAGATTACTGTAGCTTCGGATTTGTGCAAACACTGAAAAAAACGCAAAAATACTTCAACGTTTCGTTAAAAGGCCGTTCTCAGGTTACTGTAGCGCGAAAGCACCAGATTTGACGACAACATGCAGAACTTTTCGATTTTTCCGAATTTCGCATCAGATTTGACGACAAATTTTGAGTTTTCCGCATTTCGTCGTCAAATCTGATGCATTCTGTGTGTTTTGCACAGAAACGAAGCTACAGTAGCCTAGGAAAACTGCAAAATTGAGATTTTCTAGCGAATATTGCTCATTTTTAACCAAAAATCGAAATTTTGAAAATTTGCAAAAAAATCCGAAAAATTAAAAATTTCCGAAATTTTCAAAATTTTTCAAAAAATCAATATTCTTGCAGATCGTCTCCTACGCCATCTCCCTGTGCTTCTTCGTCGCTTGGCTCAAGCGACGAATCCGCTCCAATGAACCGCCATTGGTCCAGATAAGGTGATTATTTTAAGCTGAGCAATCTGGAAAAATCTGAAATTTTCGAAAAAAAAATATTTTTTTCGAATTTCTAGGCCAATTCTAGGCTGAAAATTACGATTTTGACATTAGAATTTGCCTAGAAGTGATTCTAAGCTGAGGAGAAATTTTCTGAAAATGTCGATTTTTCAGCAAAAAATTTTTTTTCGAAACAAAAATTTTTGTCTGAAATTCCCAAAAATCATTTCCTAGGCCAATTCTAGGCTGAAAAAGCCATTTTAAGCATCAAAATTTGTCTAAAATTTCCAGAAAGTCGATATTCTCCCTGCTCCGCTCTCTCCCATGGGTCCGTCGGAAGCTGGAAGCGGATTTGGCAAAGGCTCAAGTGGAAATCGAGGAGGAAGTGCATCAATATGATAGTGTAAGTGATAAGAGACATCTGGACACTTGAAAACACAGAAAATCGAATTTTCAAAAAAAAATTTTTTTTTTGAAAATTTTTGAAATTTTTTTTTTTATTTTTAAATTTTTCAAACTTTTTTTTTTCAAATTTCAGATGCGAGAATTCTACAAATTTCTGCCTGAACGATGTATGGATTCTGAGGAGATTCTAGCCGACGGGAGGAGATATGCGATGATGGGCGAGCGAAGGCACGTACAGCACTACGATCCACAGACACGCGACGAGGATATGAAGTTGTCGGCGAAAGTAGGTGAAAACCGGCTGAAGTTGGCTGAAAATCGAGGAAAAATGACCCAAAATTCATCAAAAATGGCCCAAAATGGCCCAAAGTTAGCTAAAATAGCGATTGCTCAGCTTAAAATGTCCCGAAAACAACGCAATTTTGCAATGTTCAGCGATTACTGTAGCTTCGTTTCCGTGCAAAACACACCGAATGCATCAAATTTTACCACAAACTGCAGAAAATTCGAATTTTCAGCGAAAAATCGCATTTCTGTGCATTTTGTCGTCAAATTTGATGCGTTTAGGAGTTTTCCCGGTGTTTGCACAGATTCGGGGCTACAGTAATCCGAAAAATTAACAAAATATGAGCCCAAACACGACTAGGCTCCGTCCATTTCGAAAAATTCACCGTTGACACGCGACGCACGACCGCGACGCGGCTGAAAATGGGAATTTTGGTTTTCTCGGGTTTCAGGCACATTTTGACGCGGTTTAAACATTAGAAATGAGCTTCGCAGCAATTTTTTCGGTTTAGAACCCCAATATTTAAGTGATTAGGTCTCATTCGGTGTTTGCGTACTTTTGGAGCTACAGTAACCCAATTTCCAGGTCTGAAAATCAAAATGGACGGAGCCTAGTCATGATTATATTCATTTTGAAGCTCACGACAAGGCAAATCGAATGACACAAAATAAAAAAATCGAATGCTACAAGAAATTCGATCAAAATTGAAAGGGTTACGGTACTTTCAATTTGTGGTGTGAAAATGGAAACTACCGTAACTTGGTGTCAGTTTTCACCCAAATCGAAAAATCCTATATGAACTGCGTTTCCAGCGTTGTGAGCTTCAAAATGAGTATAATCACGACTAGGCTCCGCCCATTTGGATTTTGGGACCCGAAAAGGGGCGGAGCTAAAAGTTGAAACTACCTTAACTTGGTCAATTTTCACCCAAATCGGAAAAATCGGATAGTTTCACATTTGTTTTGTCGAGAGCTTTGAAATGAGCCCAAACACGACTAGGCTCCGCCTACTTTTGTTTTTCGGACGCGTCGCGGTCGTGCGTCGCGTGCAACATGGAAATTTCAAAATGGGCGGAGCCTAGTCGTGTTTGGGCTCATTTTGAAGCTAACAGCAAGCGAATATCGGAAATCGAAGTTTTGTGACGTTTGAATGAAAAAGACAAAAGTTGTGGGAATTTCAATTTTCAAAGATTCTAAGCAAAAAATATGAAACTACAGTAGCCTGATCAGTTTTCATCCAAATTTCTGAAAATTGAGATTTTTGACATTGTCAGATTCTGAGCTTCAAAATGAGCTCAAACACGACTAGGCTCCGCCCATTTTGAATTTTCCAACTGACACGCGACGCACAACCGCGACGCGCCACTGAAAAATGAAAGTGCGCGGAGCCTAGTCGTGTTGGGGCTCATTTTGAAGCTGTCATCGTGCCAAGCTTGAATTTGAAAGATTTGGATAAACATCAACGGGGTTACGGTAGTTTTTCTTGCAGCTCTTCGACCTATTCTCCCACTCGGACCCCCATCGTTCGGACGCCTTCCCGGGAGTTCGTAAAATGGAAGCGGAGATTCTGAAGATGACGTGTGCCATGTTCCACGGTGGAAACGACGCTTGTGGAGTGGTGGCTGGCGGTGGAACGGAGGCTCTGATGCTCGCCTGCCTGGCCTACCGTAACCGATCGAGAGCAAGAGGAGAGTGGAGAGCCGAGATATTGGCTCCGTCGACGGCTCATCCGGCGCTGGATAAGGCTGCCGCATTCTTCGATATGACTATTAAAAGGTGCGGGAATTTGGCTGGAAATGAGCAATTTCGAGCCAAAAATTCATAATTTCGGCAAAAAACCAGCCAGAATAGCCGTTTTTAGCGCCTAAATCGGTCCAGAAACGCGTTTCCAGGGTTACTGTAGCTTCGATTCTGTGCAAACACCGATAAAACGTCATAATTGACGACAAAATGCAGACAAACTGAATTTCAAGTGTTTTATTTTGCATTTCGTCGTCAAATTTGACGCATTCAGTGTGTGTGTGTGTGTTTTGCACACAAACGGAACTACAGTAATCTCTGAAAACTGTAAAATGCTATTCTTTCCAGAATCCAAGTCTCCGAAACCGACGACACTGCGAACGTCGGAGCGATGAAACGAGCCATCGGACCGCGCACGTGTATGGTAAGTGGGCACCGAAAAATCGATATTTTTAAGCTGAGCAATCTGGAAATTTTCAGAAAAAAAAATTTTTTTCGAAATTTTTTCTAGACCCATTTTCAGCTGAAATAGACGATTTTGACACTAAAAACGTCTGAAAAATCGATTTTCAGCTTAAAAATTGACCCAAAAATCGATTTTAAGAGCCAAATTCAACCCAAAATCGCCAAAATTTCCAGATAATCGCCTCCGCGCCGAATCACATCACTGGAACTGTGGACCCCATCGAAAAACTGGCCAAACTCGCTCAAAGATACCATATCCCACTGCACGTGGACTGCACACTGGCGGTTTCGTACTCCCGTTCATGGAGTACGCCGACTACGCCGTGCCCGCTTTCGATTTCCGTCTGCCGGGTGTTACGTCGATTTCCGCGGACTTGCATCGGGTTAGCACCCAAAAATTGGAATTTCCCGCGATTTTGGACACTAGAAACGCGAAAATCCGAGATAAATCGACCCGTAAATGGGCCTTTTGACCCTGAAATCGCCCTGAAAATCGTTTTTCGCTCGTTTGGACTACTGTAGTGCCAAACTTGTGCAATGCACTATATCTGACGACAAAATGCAGAAAATACTACCGTAACGCCAATTGTGTGTATTTACGGAGAATGTACTATATCTGACGAGCAAATACAAATTTTCGGGTTAAAAACGCGATTTTGGAACTACCGTAACCTGACAAAGGGGATTTCAGAGTCATTTTGACGCAATTTCAACATCAAAAATAAGCTTAAAAACAAATTTTTGGTCTAGAAACTCAAAAACTAGAGCTTATTAGGTCTCATTCGGTGTTTGCGTACTTTTGGAGCTACAGTAACCCAATTTCCAGGTCTGAAAATCAAAATGGACGGAGCCTAGTCATGATTATATTCATTTTGAAGCTCACGACAAGGCAAATCGAATGACACAAAATAAAAAAATCGAATGCTACAAGAAATTCGATCAAAATTGAAAGGGTTACGGTACTTTCAATTTGTGGTGTGAAAATGGAAACTACCGTAACTTGGTGTCAGTTTTCACCCAAATCGAAAAATCCTATATGAACTGCGTTTCCAGCGTTGTGAGCTTCAAAATGAGTATAATCACGACTAGGCTCCGCCCATTTGGATTTTGGGACCCGAAAAGGGGCGGAGCTAAAAGTTGAAACTACCTTAACTTGGTGTCAATTTTCACCCAAATCGGAAAAATCGGATAGTTTCACATTTGTTTTGTCGAGAGCTTTGAAATGAGCACAAACACGACTAGGCTCCGTCTACTTTTGTTTTTCGGACGCGTCGCGGTCGTGCGTCGCGTGCAACATGGAAATTTCAAAATGGGCGGAGCCTACTCGTGTTTGGGCTCATTTTAGAGCAAATCGCTAACAGAATTCAACTTTGACAAATCTCTTAGCTTTGAAATGAGCCCAAACCCGAATAGGCTCCGCCCACTTTGGGGAAATGGGCGGAGCCTAATTTCCACCAAATATAGGCGTGTTTATACTCATTTTGAAGCTCTTTAAACGTCAAATTTGGATTTTTAAGTCTCATGACCTAGATTACGGTTTCTAGGCCACCAAAAACCACAATTTCATTTTTCAGAACGCTATCAGTGGAAGGTCGTAAGTTATCAATGATTGGAGCATCTGGAGATATGGGAAAGAAATTGGAGGACCTTCGAAAGGGATATCAAAAGGAGAAAGAGCTGAAAAGGGAGAAAGCCGAGGCCGCATTGAGGGATAAGGAGGAGTAGAGATGGATTTATCGATTTTTTTGAAAATTTGAAAAATCGAAAAATTTGAATTTTTGAAAATTTCAGTAGCTATTTTTATGTCTTAATTGTAATGTTTCGCCATACTTTTCCAGCATTTTTCATGTAAAATTCCCGATTTTTCATTGATTTTTTGTATTTTTGCCTTTTTGAACCTATTTTTGTAAAAAATAATAAAATTTGTACTTTTACACCTCAAACGTGCCTTAAAACAACATTTTCTGGCTCTACACAAAAATAAAAAGAATTTGAACCCAGGAGGAATCGAACTTTGGTGTTGTGCACCTTAGATTTTAGTGGGAAAAACCCACTGAGCCACTTGGAACACATTTCTGGAAATTGTCGATTTTGACCGTTTTTTGGCATCGAAGCCTGTGTTTAGTGTTTTTAAAGCATTTTTTATAGTTAGAAATGTCAAGGATTGTGTTTTGACATCGAAAACGCTCTAAAAAATTTCAAAATGTTTTTTTTTCAATATTCCAAAAACCTTCTTTCTACACCTCAAATGTGCCTAAAAATGGTATTTTCTGGCTCTACACAAAAATAAAAAAAATTTGAACCCAGGAGGAATCGAACTTTGGAGCTGTGGACCTTAGATTTTAGTGGGAAAAACCCACTGAGCCATTTAGAACACATTTCTGGAAATTGTGATTTTTGAAGGCTTTTTGGCGTATTAAGATAGTTTTTAGCGATTTCTGAGCGTTTTTCATGATTTGAAATAGTGAAAATCATGATTTAAAGTAAAAAGTTCATTTTTGAAAAAAATGTTCGTAAATTTCAGATTTTTCGAAAATTTTTAGATTCTCCGATTTCTCATCATTCGTTGTCCTGCTCCTCCAAAACGACTTCTCCACATTTCCATCAATTCTTGTTTCACATTTTCATTTAATCCTTGCATAAATTGAAATCTCTCCCGACCCATCAAATTTCTCATCTTTTGATTGGCCTGTTGAGCGGCGGGCGAGAGGCGGGCCTCCTGAAATTGCTCATAACTTTTTTGAAATTCAAGAAACTTCCAAAATTCAAAATGGATAATTTAGCGCTTCAAAAGAGCTACATTTTCCTTTTTGAATTTGTTAAAAATCTTGGGTTTGAAGCAGGTCTGTGCGGCAACAAATTGCCGAAATTGCCGAATTTTTGTTGCCGATTTGCCGTTGCCGATTTCGGCAAAAAAATTTCGGCAATTTCGGCAACTGAAATTTTTTTGAATTTAGAGATTTTCACAATTTTTTTAGTCAAAAAAATGATTTCGAAGTTCGAAAAAGCAAATTTTGAATCCATCATCCCTGAATTTTAGAGGAAATGTGTCCCAATAATCATCAAAAATACTTGCATCGCATCTAAAAATGGGCTTCAAATTTGTGAGAGCATAGGAGGAAAATAGGCACTCTTCTAGAATCACGGAACGAAAATTTTGGGTGATCCAAAAATTGCAAGGACCTTCATTCAAGTACTATCCAGAGATCTAACCTTGACATTACATTTTTTTTTGCTCAGTATCCAAAATGACACCCGAAATGTGGTATATTGAGTCCTTAAGGTAGTTGATAGTGTACATGATTAATAGGTTACATAGGACCTTTCCCAGATGTTCTGAGGATCATGGGACATATGAGAGTTAGGTTAGAGGCTGCAACGAGCAGAGTTTTCAAACTTCCTGTCGTTTTTTGGGTGTCCAACATGAAGGAAACATGATGGTTCAGCCTAAGCCTATAATTGAAGAAATCTTATTTTTCATTTTTCAAAAATTGGATGATATTTTTAGATTGAAGAAGCTTTTTTTCAATCATAGGCTTAGGCTGAAACGCCGTGCTTCTTTTATCTGGAACACCCTAAAATGTCAGCAAGCTCGATAACTGCTCGATGTAGCTTTAAACTGAATTTTCAGATGTTCTACAGGTCCTATGTAACCTGTTAACTAGCGTATCTTAAAAAATTGATAAACCCTTTTTTTGTATACTTTTGGGTATTGGACAATGTAAAATTGATGCCAAAGTTAGTATTACGGATCAGGCTTGGTCGGAATCGGAAAATCGAGTTCTCGATTTTTCCGATTTTCCGAATTTTTTTTCGGAAAATTTTTTCTCGAAATAATCATGCTGCGTTCAAAGTGAAGAGGAAATCTCTACTTTGTATAGTTGAAACGGGTGCAACAGTAACCCAAGCGCGGCGAGACCCGCAATCGGTGTCGATTTACGGGGTCGATTTAAGGTGAATTTTTTTAAAATTAATTTTTTTTGAATGAAAACATACTTTAATCACTAATTGAAATACGAGAAAATTCGAGAACTCGATTTTCCGGGAAAAAAAGTCGAGAAAAAATTCGAGAACACGATTTTCCGAATTTGTTTTTCCGAACAAGCCTGTTACGGATACTACTTGTCAAAGTGAAGAAGATAGCAGTTTTTTTTGGATTACCCAAAATTTTCGTTCCGTGATTCTAGAAGAGTGGCGAAAAATAGATATCATGAGTCACAACTCATCAAAAAATTATCCATCTGTCTCAAATCTCTAGGGAACGTGTGTCGTGAGTTGCCTAACAAGTTGAGCGCACTATTTTCAAAACTCACAATTGGAACAAGTATTTTCAACCATTGGAATACCCTCTATTGCTGAAGAGAAATAGTTTGCATAAAAAATGTGGTCTTGAGTTGCCAATTTTTGTAATTACTTTTTTAAGGAACTTATGAACACACATTTTCTGTAGTTCTGAGCCTGATAGAAGCATTTTCAGATGAGTTACGTATCGATTTTACTGTTACCGCCTCTGATGGGAGACGGCAAACACCCTATAAAAAGGGTGCTTGCCTTCTCTTATCAGAGGTTAGAGGAGTAGAGTCATGTAGTTCTCTCTGTAATTGAATAATTTCTATCTTATAAACCTTGTTATTATTAACCGCTACCATTATTATTTACTATTCTTTAATCCCGTATATCCCACCAATAGGGGGTATAACATTACTAAAAAAAAAAGACGCAAAACTTTTGTTGCCGAAAATTTCCGAAAGTTGCCGAATTGTTGAAAAAATTTTGTTGCCGCACAGGCCTGGTTTGAAGGAAGTTACGACTTGATAAAAAAAAATAATAAAATTTCGAAAATTTTCAAATTTTTGAAAAAATTAGAAATTCCGATTTTTGGCTGGTTTTTAACTTTTTTTTTTATGTGAAAATCGTAGTTTTCCGTTAAATTTAGCCGAAAAATCATGAAATTTGATTAAAAATCAGTGATTCAGGACGATTTTCGGTTTGTTGTTGGCCTACAATTTGGGATTCTAGATCACCAATCTTAAGATTGCTCATAACTTTTTTGAAAATTTAATTTTCTTAAAAAACAAAATGGAAAATTTAGAGCTTAAAAAGAGCTACATTTTCCATTTCAGAATATCTGAAAATATTGATTTTGAAGAAAGTTATTATGACTTGTTCAAAAAATTTCGAATAATCAAAATTTTCGAAAAATTCTGAAAATTCAAATTTCGCTCCCAACCTTGTGCCTGAATTCCGCGTCTCCCTTTGCTTTCATCGCTTTGAACTCTTGAAATTTCCTCAGGTTATCTCCAGTCAACACATTTTGAGCCAAAAAATCGATTTTTGATTTTTTCTGGTCCCAAGACATCGATCGATCCTTAAAAATCGCCTCAAACTTCTCCAGAATATTCTTCGGGACGCCTTCTAGAAACGGAGGTCTTCTGAATGCTCCACGTGGCATTGAATGGAAAATCTCGCGCGTTTTCGATTGCTCATTCTCACAATTTGAGCCAGTTTTGTAATTTTTCCAAATTTCCGAAATTCGCGTTTTGGCATCTTGAGGAAGACGGTCGAGGAATGGTGGAGGACCACATGGGGGCTGGAAATTCAAATTTGGCGCGTTTAGAGCTTCAAAATGAATATAAACATGACCATAATCGGAGGGAAATAGGCTCCGCCCCTTTTTGGAACTACCGTAGCTTGGTGAAGCGTCATTTTGACGCGATTTTAGCTTCCAACACGTGTTTAAAAGCGAATTTTCAGTCTAGAAACTCCAAAAACCGGGGCATTAGGTCTCATTCGGTGTTTGCGTAATTTTGGAGCTACATACAGTAACCCCTTCTTGGTTCAAAACCAAAATGAGTGAAGCCTAGTCGTGTTTATACTCATTTTGAAGCTCTAAACTGGACATTTTCAGAAATAAATGTATTTTCGAAATTCGATGAAAATGAAAAAAGTTGCGGTACTTTTAATTTTTCGAAAAGTTCTGGCACCAAAATTGAAACTACTGTAACTTGGTCAATTTCGAGCCAATTCGAAAAATTTTGATTGCATTGTATTTCTTTTGGTTTTTAGCTTCAAAATGAGTATAAACACGACTGCTCCGCGCACTTTCATTTTCCAGACGCGTCGCGTGTCTAGCTGAAATTTCAAAGTGGGCGGAGTCTAGTCGTGTTTGGGCTTATTTTGAAGCAATTAGCTATCCAAATTCAAATTTAATAGAGTCTGAGCTTCAAAACAAGCCCAAACACAACTAGGCTCCACCCACATTGGGGGGCTAAAAGGAGGCGGAGCCTAATTTTCACCAAATATAGGCGTGTTTATACTCATTTTGAAGCTCTTTGAATGATAAATTCAAATATACAAGTATTACCTTCCACGCTCCTCCTCCACTTCCACCAAACCAGCGTTGAGCATGGGCGGAGCCAATGCTCAGAATTAGGAAAATTGGGAAAATTGGAATTTTCATTTTTTGGTATTTTTCAAATTTCTAAAAGTGCTTTTATATTCAAATCGAAATCCATATTTGAACTGGGTTCAAAAAAGTAGTTCGCCAAATTTCCGGCTGTTTTTTAAATAAGCTCCGCCCATTTTCATTTTTTTTTTTTGAAATTTTAGGTGATTTTCGAAATTTGAAAAAAGGAAAAAAAGAACACATGTGACGTCAAAAAAAGGTCTTTTTGTTTGTTCGGCGAATGTTCTTCAGAATTACCCTCTTCAGAAGACGTGTGACGTCACGCCTTCTGAATACATCAGTATCACTTTTTTAAAAGAGAAAATGGGGGGTTTTGCAGTAGTGATAGGTCGGATTTTTGGAATTTTTTGGGGCTTCGAGAACTTCTAAATGAGTATAAACAAGCCTACATTTGGTGAAAATTAGGCTCCGCCCCTTTTAGCCATAAAGTGGGTGGATCCTAGTTGTGTTTGGGCTTGTTTTGACGCTCAGACTCTATTAAATTTGAATTTGGATAGCTAATTGCTTCAAAATGAGTCCAAACATGACTAGGCTCCGCCCACTTTGAAATTTCAGCTAGACACGCGACGCACGACCGCGACGCGTCTGGAAAATGAAAGTGCGCGCAGCCTAGTCGTGTTTATACTCATTTCGAAGCAGACCCTTTATATCTCGGTTACTGTAAACGATATCAAAAAGTTGCCAACTAATAAAATGTTGCCGATATTATGATAAACAATTTATCAGTTGACAACTTTTTGATATTTCTTACAGTAACCGTGATCTTTAGGCTCAAAGTTGGGGGAGAGAAAGCGGGGAAGGACACCCCTTCCAACTTTGAGCTTATATATCTCGGTTATTGTAGGGAATATCAAAAAGATGTTAACTGATAAAATATTGGTGATATTCTGATAAACAGTTTATCAGTTGACTATTTTTTGAAATCTTTCAGATGGTTTGAGATATTTGAGCTAAAAGGTCGGGGAGGGGTTGCGAGGAAGGTCATTTTTCTCAGTTTCTGTTGAAGATATAAGACGATGAAATTTTCAAAATTTTTAACATTCGTTCGAATAGACCTTTTTTCTTTCTCTCCATAAAACCAAATCACACTTTCCTTATCACTTTTTTGCTCTGATTCTGAGTTTCTTAATTTTTCGGATTTTAAGATTTTTATGACAAATTTTAAAAATATGGATTTTCGGGGTTTTCGGTGATGAAGGAATCTGATTTTTTTGATTTCAAAAACAAGTTTAGGTCCTAAAAATCCCAAAAAAAAACCAAACAAAACAAAATCAGTACCGAAATTTTTAGCAAATTCTCAACGCCCCTCCGAAAACACAATTCCCTTGTAAATTAAGATAGTTTAAAAATTTGAAATCGTTGAAAATTGCATATCATCTGAAAGCTCAAAATTTGAAAATCAAAATGCGCTAAAGATCAAGTTTCTAGCGCAAGTTTGAAGCGAGTTATACCCCTTTTTTGAAATTGAGAAACGCAGAGGAACGAGAGCACTCTCGCTTCTCTGCGTCTCTACAGAATCTTGGAAGCGCTGTATCTTGGCTAAAAATAATGCTAGAAACTTGCTTTCTAGCGCATTTTGATTGTCAGGTTTTGAGCTTATAAATGATATACAAAACTAATATTTTGCTTCCTTTAAGCTAGGTTAGCCTTTCTGGAACTCTCTAAAACTATCTTAACCCATCCATACTCACATTCCATTGTCGATAATCCTCCTTCCCACTATCCGGCAACATCAAAACCCTCCAAATTGCTACTTCATGGGAAAGACATTACCTCTATCTATTCTTGTCAAGCCCCCATTATATTCTATTCTTCTTCCTAGAAGCGTATCTGTAACTCTTCTTTCTTTTTCCTTTTTCTGGTTCTAAAGAGAGAGAGAGGGTGAGAAAATGGGATTAGAAACAATGGGTTACTGTAGATGATGTGATTTATTCACTATGGCTCATGGGAAGGACACTCCACACTGTTCTCTTTGCTCCTAGGGAACCCAGAGAAACCGGAATTTTTAAAAACCTTAAAAATGCTAGTATCTCCGAAATCCTTCCTGCTCCTTCTTGCCCTTACTAGAAGTTGAATTTTTCAATTTGGATGAAAATTGGCAAAGTTACTGTAGTTTCATTTTTCATGCCAAAAATGGTTCAACAAATTGAAAATACCGTAATTTGGCAAATTTTCATCCAATTCGAAAAATTCAACTTCTAACGCATTCGCCTTGTTATGAGCTTCAAAATGAGTATAAACACGACTAGGCTCCGCCCATTTTGATTTTTGGGCCCCCATAACGGGGGTTACTGTAGCTCCAAAAGTACGCAGACACCGAATGAGACCTAATGGAGCTGCGGCGGCGGATGTCAAGGTTAAACTGTATGAGGATGGAACTAGTGAGTCTTAAGAGTTTTAAAATTCTTCCAGAAAGCTGCGTTTTTCAAAGTTGATTCCAAAAATATAGGTTTCATTTGATTTGAGCAAAAACTAAGCAAGTTATGAATGATTTCCATTGGATAAACAAAATTTAGAAACTACGGATTGTCCGAAAAAAAAATAAATGAAAATAATTGTTTTTTGATGCTCATTTCAAAACTATAGATTTCCTACAATTTGAGCTAGAACTAAGCAAGTTATGACTGATTTTCTATGATTTTGGTACTGCTGCGCAGTATAAAAAGTTGTCAACTAACAAACTGTTTATCATAATATCAGCAACATTTTATCAGTTAATCTCTTTTCGATATCTCTTACAGTAACCGAGATAAACCGGGTCAAAGTTAAGGGGTCGGCAGCCGACGGTCTAGCCCATCCTGCAAGCGTCGACTTCTCAACAAACACCGAATGAGACCTAATTCCTTAGTTTTTGAGTTTCTAGACCAAAAATTTATTTTAAAATTTATTTTTAATGTTAAAATCGCGGTAAAATGACTCTGAAACCCCGAAAGATTAAATTTTCCAAGTTACGGTAGGTCCAAAAAGGGACGGAGCCCATTTTCCCGGATTATAGTCATGTTTATATTCATTTTGAAGCTCTCAACGCGCCAGATTCAAATCTTCAAGTTTTACCACACAATTCCAAGTGCTCCAGCACTTTTTTTTTGAAAATTTCGACAATTTCATTTTTGGCATTTTTTGAAATTCTAAAAATCTTCTTTCTACACCTCAAACGTGCCTAAAAATGTCATTTTCTGGCTCTACACAAAAATAAAAAGAATTTGAACCCAGGAGGAATCGAACTTTGGTGTTGTGGACCTTAGATTTTAGTGGGAAAAACCCACTGAGCCACTTGGAACATATTTCTGGAAATTGTCGATTTTGACCGTTTTTTGGCGTTCGAAGACTGTTTTTAGTGTTTTTAAAGCGTTTTCCATGGTTTTAAACGCTGAAAATCGTGTGAACAGTATCAAAAAGACTCATTTTATTTACAGAACAAAAAGAATGAGAAAAAAAAATAGTATGCCATAATAATAATTGTTATAATTATAAATTTCAGGACCACAAAGAAGCCGAAAAACAAGTGAATGAAGGGAGAGGGGATACTGTACTACGGGAGACACAACAAAATTCCGCGCGTTTAGAGCTTCAAAATGAGTATAAACAAGACTATATTCCTAAAAATAGGCTCCGCCCCTTTTTGGAACCACCGTAACTTGGTGAAGCGTCATTTCGACGCGATTTTAGCTTTCAAAACGTGTTTAAAAGCAATTTTTCAGTCTAGAAACTTGAAAACTAGGGGATTAGGCTTCATTCGGTGTTTGCGTACTTTTGGAGCTACAGTAACCCCGTTATGGGGGCCCAAAAATCAAAATGGGCGGAGCCTAGTCGTGTTGGGGCTCATTTTGAAGCTAAAGGCAAAGCGAACTGAATGGTGCGGGAATTTCAGAAATTGGGTGATAATTTGAAAAGGTTATGGGTGTTTTAAGGGGATGGAAGGTGTCAAATGACCTAGCGGGGGACCAGAAAAATACCATAAAATCAATAAATTCTAGTTCAAAAGCGAATTAACTACTGCTCCCACATTCAGATTCCTCAAATCCGCGTACGTCTGTCCGCATCCAACGAATACAATCGGCTGTCCAGTGATATAGGTCATCGAAACGGCCGCACCGACCTTATCATCGATCGTATCGAACTTCGTCAGTACTATTCCATCGATAAGGCGGGGCTTCTGACCGGGCGCCGCGTGATTGGCCAGCGCTTCGTTGAATTTCACCAGCTGGTCCACTGCTTCGTTTCCGACCAGCGCCTCACCGACAAAGAGCACCAGATCGGGCTCGTTTACACGGATTAGCTGGAAATTCGATAGTATTATTGATTTTATTGAATTTGGAGCTTTGAGAGCTTCAAAATGAGTATAAACACGACTACGATTAGGCTCCGCCCCTTTTTTGGGGGTTCACAAATCAAAGTGGGCGGAGCCTAGTCATGTTTGGGCTCTTTTTAAAGCTTAGACTCTGTCAAACTTGGATTCGGTCAACAAACTGCTTGAAAATGAGCCCAAACACGACTAATCTACGTCCACTTCGAAATTTCCTTCGGCACGCGTTGCAGGGCCGCGTCGCGCCTGGAAACATGAACGTGGGCGGAGCCTAGTCGTGCTTATACTCATTTTGAAGCTCTTAACGAGGCAAATGTGTAAATAATGAAAATTCTCAAATTGGATGAAAATTGATCAAGTTACGGTACTTTTAGGATTCTCAGAATTTTTTGACAAAAATTGAAACTACCGTAACTTTGTCAATTTTCATCCAAATTGAAAAAATCAACTTCTAACGCATTTGTGTCGTTGAGAGCTTCAAAATGAGCCTAAACACGACTAAGCTCCGCCCACTTTCATTTTTATACCAAAAAGGGGCGGGCATAAAATTGAAACTACTGTAACTCGGTCAATTTTGATTTTAATCGAAAGATTCAAATTGGATCGCATTTGACACGTTTTGAGCTTCAAAATGAGCCCCAACACGACTAGGCTCCGCCCATTTTGATTTTTGGACCCCATAACGGGGGTTACTGTAGCTCCAAAACTCCGTAAACACCGAATGAAGCCTAAAGCTTTAGTTTTCGAGTTTCTAGACCAAAACATCGCTTTTAAGCTAGTTAAAGTGGTTGTAATCGTGCCTAAATGTGTCGAAAACATTAAAAAATCAAAATTTCCCAGGTTACGGTAGCTTCAAAAGTACGCAACCTGAGAAATTCGAATTTGGAGCTCGTAGACACACTTTGACGAGATTTCAATGTCAGATATG